TCTTTGTCAGACCAAAGTCTAGTCGACAAACACAGAGTTGACAATGACTTGCTTCTGTTTGACATCGATGATTCGGTGATTTTTCAAATGATTGCTCGTATCAATCAAGAAAAAAGCTTCGAATGAGTAAGAAAACATTCAGCGCAACGGACAACGTTCATTCTCTGTGTGTATACTGTACATATTCGATTGCACTTAAACTTTTCTTCTAACACTTTCCAATCAATTAGATTGATTGTAATTACTGTATTTGTATTAGAAAAATGGCGAAACCTTTTCAATCTGATACCATATGAGAGTCATCGCTTTGCCGTATTAAAGTCACTAGTCAATAAATTACACAATAAATGTATACATATTTCGATGTTTGTTTTTGGTGCAGAGCAAATAAGTCAGTGTATAAAATGCTCGAGTAACTGATTCTCCTTTCTCTTGTTGACCGATCCTTGATAAGATTTCGAAACAAACAAACAAATCTTGAATACTTAAATGTTAATCTGCGTTAATAGGATTTCAATGGCAAATACTTGATTACATGGCAGATTCGAGCGAAAGCAATCAAAGCGGTCGAGTTTTAATTCCCATCGAATGGCATTGAACCAAACAGTTGCTTGTTTCTAGAATCAATTCTAATACTTATAATTCTATTTTTTCTCTTTTTTTCAGGTGAGTTATCTTCAAATGATTTCTATTTTATCGAAATTGGCGTCTTAATGCTTTTTATTGAAACGTCAAGATGAAATTGATATTGCAAAGAAATATTGAAAAGTATCTGAAGCTTATGATAATTTTGCCGTCAATAAAACCAAGTCAAAAGCACAATCTTAGAAAAAGTCATTCAGACAGGCAGGTAAGTGATTCTTTTTTTTTCGAAGCATATTGAATTCTTGGAGTGGTGAGTTCATCTTGTGAATTTAATACCATAACCGCCCATTTTCTACTTGGTAAATTACTTTCGAAATGTTAACAATGTGAAAATGATTTGTGTTTGGAAACAGAAATAAAAGAGTATATGAACTGGGGCATTTTGTACTGAACAAAATATTAATCGATGCGATTTAGACTATCGCGTTGACAACAACCGATGGAGCAACGCTCATTTTTGTAAACTCAGCCAAACAAATTATTTTCGATCCACATTATCCGATATTATCAGCTCGAGATGAAAATGCACAATTTTGATGGAATTAATTACGGGTAAAATGTTTGAAATTAGTTATAAGCACTACATTTCCAATAAATTCTATAAGTTCGGATTTAACCCATTAGATATAATATTTTTTGTTGCAATTTAATTTATAATAATGTTGAATGTTGATTAGAATGAAAATGCAGTCAGATTATTATGTAAAAGTTTCTAAAATATATTGATCGTTGCCCAATGAATTAGATGTTCATCTCTATTGTAAAATTTGGTGTGGTCATTAATTTGAAATGATAGAAATTGCGCAAACCAATTGTGGTTAGTGCCAAAAACTATTGGCCATTGTTATATGCATACACAAAATAAATTCATCGCAAGAAGACGGAAAACAAATTTTTCGCTAGAATAACACGAACACAACAAGATTTATTTGCCTGCAATCAATATAAAGTGATTGAATGGTATGTGTGTGATATGGAGCGTATCCAAAATAAAATGAAGCATTCAAGTGAAACACATTTTCGATGCGAGAAAATATTCAAGTTTGTTTGCAAATTGTGTTTGGAATTCATTCGTATTTTCAGTCCATAGTTGTTTGAATGATTGTGCGCTTTGCTGTGCCTACCAGCACACTGTTTGCCGCCATTACTGTCGATTGTAAATAGATGAAGCAGTGGCATCAGCATATCCACTTTTGTATCCACTATGTTTACCGATGTGCAAAACGAAAGGGAACACAAACACAAACCATCGAATGTTTTCGGCGTGAAGATTAAAGTGAAACACAGAAGAAAGCACACATAGGAGGAAAAAAACCATAGCGACATCTCTAAGACTAGATGTTTGTGTATGTGTTTGATTGTAAAATGATGATCAACTTTCCGTTCCCATTTCGATTGGATTCCTGATATTCTTTTTTTTTAAAGTGTCTCATTTCAACAAAATATTTTATCTTTTTAACATTTTCATTTGATTATTCCTGCGGATGATATAAACCATTGAGATATTTCTAATCGATTTTCATAGCAGTTCGATTGAAAACGATCCAGAACCAAAGGAACGAACTTTTTCGCTGAATGGTTTCAAATCATACGGATTTCCAGACAACCCACACACACACACATACAACGAAAAACAAGAATGAGAAAAGGAAAGAAAAAAATGAACCATTCTTTCTTTTCCCTTTTTTCCCTCTGTCAGTGAATACGAAGCATCTCATTTTACTTACATGCTAGAAAGCGTCACGTCTCTGTTTATTTCGGTGAAATCAATTTGAGCAGTTTCCATGCGACGGGATTTGCACAAAGAAATTCAAAACGACAAGTAAAAAAAATTGTTTCCAAGATGTTTTTTTCCGGGGGTACGTTGAAAAGCAATTGAAATTAAAGAATTACACGCGACGTTTACTGATATTGAAAGGCTATAAATCTGGTGGAATTCGCATCCTACTATGCTCAAATGTACATGGAATGCGTCCTTTTTTTATATTATTGTAATTATTTGCGATTCAATTGCCAAAAAAAATCCATTCAATTTACAACAACAACAAATAAAAAACAAATTTGTTTGGTAATGGAAAATGTAGAAAAGTGGAAAATCGAATGTGATCCTGATTTAAATAGAGATTATTTTGTAAATGGTGTGTCAGCCGCACATTGTGCAAATGGAGCACAACGTATGATGATTCTGTCATTTCGACGTCTTCTACAAATAAATGTAATTCGCATGAATGTTGTTGCTTTCATCTTCAAGTCCTTTTTACTTAAATCCATTACGAGCTATGATATCATTACAGTAAAATGAAATGAAACCCTATGCCTGCTTCAAACACAAATGACTTGGACGATTTAAATTTATGCGAACGTCAATGTTGATTCATAGAACATCGTAGACGTGTAGACATCTTATGTATTCAACATAGCTGAGATAATGAAAATCTTTTGAACGAAATTTTTCATCAAGTGAAACTGATATCGGATATTGATTTGCGAGTAAAAGTGTTTATTTGCGTGCGTTTTATTTACAATTGTTATCCAAATATTTACATGTGCTGATTCTATGTTGAGAAGAGGGTCCGAACGTCAAAGCAAACTCAATAAATCGTGGCGAATAGAAGGTGGAGAGAAACTACAAGACAAAAGAAACTTGACACACAAACACACATATATTTAGAGAAAATGTGGGTAAAACCAATGCGTGTACAAAACATACTGATGCTTTGAGCGATGCATTTGCCTACATTCGTAGACTGGAAAAGCATACGAATTCGGACAGTACGCATTTAAAGGCTTTGAGGGAAAATGTGTTTGCCATTTCTTTTACTTGTGTGTTTGAACGAACGACAAACCAACGCTGGACGTAATCAATGAAGAACACATTCATATTACTTATTACATGTGTCTAGTGTATATATGGATACATTTCAACAACAAAAAAAATTCCACCATTAAAATCAATCATGTGTTACGTACTGTGTGTATGTTTAAACAATAATTTAATATAATACATTTGAAAGCGATTTTTAGCGATGATTTTTATAGACGGTGGTTTTTATTACTTCATCACAATTTTATGTACCGATATGATTGAGTAATTCATATGAGTTGTGCTCCCTGGACCTGTTGTACATGTGCCGATCATAGCCGAGATAATCGCTTGTAAGTCATAAACAATACCCAAAGTTCAATAAGACATTCGAATTATCAGGAGAATTTTTTTATGCCGTTCGGTTGTGCGGACGTTCTTTTGTTATTTTGTTTTTTGTTTACGATATCGAAAATAATGTTGTGTGTTATGTGCACTGAATAATATGATTTAGATGGGCTGTTTAACATTCTATGTGCAGCCTCGCCTTTATTTTCGTTTGCTTCATTTAAAACACAGAAAAACTGTCAAACATACATTACATTTTTTCCCATTCGATATCCGTTCTTCGGTTTTTGTTTGCTACGCATTCTTATTGTTGTTATGTCTTCTTAAATGCTGTGAGTTGTGTATAGTGATGAGTCAACTACATGCACAGGCACAATGGAGACGGCATTATTCAATGCGCATGTGCCACTGAAGCTGGCTCGCCGTCGAACCGTGCACATAAACATTCCGAATGGAATCAGTATGAGTGGTTGTGTTATAACATAAAAGACACTTGAAATCATTGCCATTGCGATGCGTATTCAAAAAATACATTGCAAACAGAAACACGAAGGTAGACCATTGAGAATTGTGGAATCGGAACGCAAGAGCTTTACCTTCCAATATTCGAATGATTTTTGTTATGCATATGGGACGAACAGCATCACAACACACCACGAATAATAAGCGCATCACACTCATTGCGTCATTGAAGCGAAAGCATTGCTCTGTTTGCGTTTTGAAGCTAACGCGTGCGGATGCTGTCACTTGTCCATGGAGATAAACCGATATCCCGCAAACACGTACCAACACACACATACATGCACAGTTTTTTTCTCATCTTTTCACTCCCCTCATGCGAATCAAAAGCTTTCTCACATCTCAACCGAAGAATCGACAATTTTTCGAGCTTGAGATTTAGTTCGATTAGAGCATGGGTGACTAACAGACGTATATTTGGATTGATTATCAAGTTCATTTATTGTCGAGATTCAAATCAACTTTCATCATATTTTTTCATCATTAATATTGCTACAACTAGCATTCATTTAAAATAAATAGTGTGAGATTTGAAAACTTAAACGAAAACAAATTGGTTTAAAAAAAATTTGGTGTTTATTTTTCGTCTTCAAAATTTTGGCTTCACATCTTTTAAAATTCAAAATAAATACGGACCAAATTTAAATTTGCCAAATTAAATAATAAAAAATTCAAACAAAAAAATCTAGTTTAAAAAAGTGTCGGTTGATAATTGGGTACCAATTGAGCAGCAAAACAAAATCTAAAATTAAAATATATTAGAAAAGTCATTGGGTTGAACGAATCGGCGAATAAAGTTACAATAACACAACATCGATTGTGTAATCGGTTGGTCACCAACATACATAATTGAAAAAGTAACCGAACTTTTTTCCACTCCTGATGAAGTTTAGTCCGATTCAGCAAAATGCATACCAAACTGGTCTGGCTGTTTTTCTGTCATTTGAATTCAGTTTGATTTCGAGTCGTGTCTATTTTTGTAGCGTATTAGTTGCCGCTTACCACTAAAAAAAAGTGACATACTCTGGCAAATACATAGAGAGAGAGACGGACACGAATCGACCGATGAGCAAACATCGCACCATTACCACAACATATGGAATACTTACGGGCACGTCCTTTCCGATCATTTGCAATAGCACGATAGAATGTCAAGCGAACGAAATTATTTAGTGCAATGAAAAAAATGAGCAGCATTGTGACCAATTGTGTTTCGATATATGTATGCTGAATCTAAAATGAGGATCGTTTTGTTGGCTTTCTTTTTTTGTTGAACTTGCCTGCATTTTAATGAAGCAAAGCCGATGCGCGAGATGTATGTGTGCATAAACCAAATAGTGGAAATCGTGTTTTATTAACGTTGAAACTGCACATTTAGCAAATTTGTGCAGAAGACTAAACGAATTACCGAGACTGAACTCATCACTTGAAATAGGATTATTAGCCACAATCGTATTAAAAACCGATGGTGCAACACATTCGTATCGAGATCCAGATAGAAAGAGACACACACAGAGAGACGAGTTGCAGGGAAAAAATCTCACGCTCGGGAGCCCAGTAAATGTGAAATCTACCGAAAATTGAATTAATTCGGACAATATGTGAATGCTGTTAGGCTTTTCCAACCACGATACACAAACATTTTCAATGCGATGTGCATGCAGAATTAACGAAAATATTTGTTATCTTAAAATGGTGTGAATAACAAAAAAAACGGGACACAACCACATTCGTAAAAGCTTTGGGCCGAAAACAAAAATAAATTTCTGCTTCGCTATTTACACTGCAGGAAATTGGTAAATTTATATTTTCATCAATATATGTATAACGCAATATATATTTACAAGAGACTAGACTAACTGAATCATTTTATTGTCGATTACCTTCTTTTATAATATAAATATTATGATTTATAGTAAATGCTTGAATTTTTGATACATTTTGGCACATGTTCTACATAAACAACTTCTTTTTTTTACCTGATGACTTATTTTTAAATTCAAGGGTACGTGGATGAAAAAATAATACAGTTAAATAAATGTTATTAAAATTATACCAAAACTAGTCTGAAGCTTTTCAGAATGGGTAAAAAAAGTACACAATTTGTATCAAAACCAAAAGCCACAGTAAATGCCGCTTTATGTGCCTTTTCGACAACAGACAAACACTTGATTTACGCAATTATATGAATTTAAATGGATTATTATTACTGCGGCTTATGAAAATAAGCGGTAACTTTTTAACCATAAACATTTTCGATTGAAACGGTTTGTTTTTCCATTGAGAAATTTGTATAAAAAGAACTTTTGTTTTCGCCCGCTGCTAAAATTAGAAGCGGCATTTTGTTAAGAATAGAACATGAATGAAACAAAATAAATGTTCTTTAAAATTGTTTCATTTATTAATTATGCCCCTTTCAACGAAATAATAACAATTCAAATGGGCCGATGAATTTTCTTCGTACGTTGCATAAAATACCTAAAAAGGTCATTTGATCGCTTTTTGGCAAGACTGTTCTTTTCGCGTATAGGACGCTTTCGCAATGTCTAGTGTATATTATTGTCGCTGTTCCCCTGTTTTGGCAAAATGCCAATGAAGAATGACTTTATTCTTGTATGAAAAAAAGAAACGAAAAGAAAGAATGCGGGCCAAAAGGAATTAACAATTGGCAATGAACATGAAAGAAAAATCGTTTCTTTGCATGCAGACAAAATAAGTAATTTCAAAATGAACGTGTACTCACGTTTCACTTTTTTTCAGACTGCGGAAATAGTCACTGCAACAAAAATCTCGTTCATTTAAGCAGCTTCCTTACACTTGTTCCAATTTCAAAGCCATGAAATGCATATCGTTTGCAATAAAAATTCCGTTTCTATACAAAAATTATAGCATTCAACATAGCCAAAAATTCATGAAACGCTTCAAAATTCACTCATTGCTTTATTGAGCAAATGCTAACAATATAAACATTCAAGAATGAATGTTTCCCATTTTTGGGGGTAAAGATGTTCAAACGTAAAGACATGTTCCTTTTTTAAACACAAACCATAAAAACAGTTTTAATTTCTACCAAGATGAAATTCTCAATTTAAATCGAATGAAATATTCTTAAACTACAAAATTCATGTGGCGAAAAAGAAATGCGAATAAATGAATTCACGTGGAATGGGGAGAGAAAAAAAAAGCAGCCAAAAGATTAACAGACACAAAATGCTGTGAAACGAATCATGAGCCAAAAACCAAAAAAATCGATAATGTGCAGAAGAACACTGGCAAAGGCTGTGAAATATGACGCAAAATGCAGACTGTAAAATGTTTATCATTAAATGAGATACAGCTCAAACTAACACATTTCGTCGTAATATATATTTTTAAAAATAAAATCGTGCACAAGCTTGTGACACACAGGCTTATGCTGGCAATGCTAACGGGCTAGATTATCTGTTTTGAGTCTTTGATACAAAAAAATCTATATACATACCAAGCCATGTAATTGCACAGTTTTCTGCCATGTTTCACATTCTGTTACGCAGCGCAAATTCCATTTTATAATCTATTCACTGTGAAACGATGCGTTTACAAAGGCATTCAATTAATCCAACCAAAGAATCATGGAAAATTAATTAGAACATATTATAATTATTATTCGGCGCTAGAGTGATAAAGTGCATTCGAATGGGAATAAATCCTGTGCCAAATAAAAAAAAAATCTATTGATACATTTTTCAAAAGAGCCACTGAATTTGAAACGAAATAACCATTTCACATGGATAAAGTATTGGGGCGAAAAACCGCATTAATGACACCCATTGACTAGCGTGACAAGATTAATTTTGAAATCGATTTTTCACAAGCCATCCGCGTCATTCATGTCGGTTTTTACACGCCTTTTTCATCATTCAAATAAATTAATTCCGGGTTTGTTTTTTGTCTCTTTCGCATGGAATAAATACGGAACAATAACGACTTTGCAATATCATTACGTTAAAAAGGCAAGAAGCTCGGAAACGATGGAACTTTCCTAACAATTAATTATCATACACTGAGAGGAAACCATTTAGCCATTGATTGGCATTTTCGCTCATTTTTTTTTGTTCTTTTTGTTTGCAACTTTCGATAATTGCTGACACCAAAAAAGATTTAATGTACCGTAATTAATGTTCAATTGTTTTTGTGACAACAGCAAAATTGAATTTTTTTGTAAATTTAATTATCAATTTGATTCGAACGCTGCCATGCAAGGAAGAACAGAGATTTTTTTTAAATTCCAATTACTGTTTAAAAGGTCTTTACTCCTGGCAATCGAATGTTGCTGTGGCAGCAACATTTTAAAGTAATTAGTGTATCAAATAAATTATATGGAATTGAATTGAGCTTGCTGATGCTGGATGTGTGCATGTTTTTCTGGTTTCATAACCATTGAGAAATGGCCGAAATGAATTTGTTGTCATTTATAAAACGAATGCCATACAAGCGTCCATCAATCATGACCACCAAATGATAGAATTTTAATGCCGCCAGTAAGATATTTACTAAAAGGTAAATAATGAATTGATTCAACCTTTTACGAAATTAAATTTTGGTGGCTTTTCTCTCGTATATCCGAAAATTAAATAAATGACCGGCGTGAGTCCTGTTAAAGAATACTTTTTGTGGTGGACTATGTGGCTTTACCTTTTCAATAAAAATCGAAAGTCATCATTTTGTTAACGCGCTTAAAATATGTGGTCAGCTCTTTCTATACCTTTTTCTTGTCTCTTCCAACTTTGAGCGTAGATGGATTTGCGCCAGTGGTAAATCCATTCTCTCAACATAAGTGTGTGAATAAAACTTCCATCGCAACATGAGTTGGCTTTCTGTGAAATCCCCACTCATAATGAATCATTTTTTTCCACTGATGTTTCCAGTTCAAATGGTTCTTTTAATGTCAATTTTGAAGGTACCTAATGGATTTCGACACAGCCTACGCTATTTGAGAAATTCATAGCAAAATTGCTTTTTACATCAATCCAGAGAATTATTTTCGAAGAACATCAATTTTATTAACTATTCATCTCAGAGTATATAAATAAATTTTAGCTTAACATTTATGTAATATGAATAAGATGAGGATTCTTTACGAAAACCATTCCGGTTTCACTTATATACATAGACAAAAGCAATATTAATAAGTTTGTAATGAAAATTGTTTAAACTTTCCCATTGAAAATGCCAGTTGCATTGAAAAGAATAAAACCAGATTAATTTTTGGTACAAGTTTAGAAAACCCCAAACTATGTATACTAAATTTTCTGTTTGAAAATGAAATATATCTCAACGAAAGTAAAAATAGTTATATACTCAGCAAAATACCGCATGGTAGTTGTGTTAATATGTTTTTAGTCATCATTAAGTTGCCTTTGACGTGAAAATATTTGGGAATTTTTTCGAGACAAACATGTGGAAATAGCAGTGGGAAGTCTGTGATTTTTTGTGTTTCATTTTTTGTTTCGTACGACTTGAAAATGTTGGCATGCCCAAGCACATTGAAACAATGTTATCTATACGACAAGAAATTCTCACATTTTTTCTCATGTTGAGCAGCTCATGTACAATTCTCTTTATACATTTTTTTCCTTCTCTTAAACATGATAAAGCCTCAAAAAAAGGAACAAAATGGTAGACCAAGAAAAAGTGAAAACTTTATCGGAAAATTGTGGGGTGAACGAAAACCATCCTCGCAATGTTCGATATGTGTTGTACATTAAGTTTTTTGTGTTGCGCATTTGAAATTACAGCACGTTGGGACCAAATGACATCGTTTAAGAGCAACTTTTAACACGAAAGAAATTCCCATCGACATAAGTTCAACAAACGACACAAGCGATTTCCCGAATTTGATAAGAGCACGAGCCAACGCACAAAATGCCTAGTCTATAGATATATATCAAGTCATAAGATAGACCGAGGGAGACAGGGCGACGGGATCACAATCGCAATCACAGAAGGACCGAAAAAAAGACAAGAGTGTAGAGCGCTCTTCTATATCTAGATGTGACATGGCATGCATAGACATAACAAACATTATCGAAAAACCAAATTACCTACATCAAGAGAATTGAGTCGACATTTATTCGTGCAATAAGCATGATATCTTTCGTCTCGACAACCATTACGCACCTCGCACAAGTGCAAAACCAAATGTATTTATATGAGGGGAGGCCAAAATGTTGAGTAAAGAAATTAAGTTAATTATCAAGCCCATTTATGCATTGTTGTGAATGCGTGAACGCAACGGATAATTTTCTGAAATGATGCTCCAAGAATTATAGATATTTTCACTGCTTTCTCTCTCTCTCTTCCGGTTCATCAAAGTTAGTATGCCAGCAAGTAATGCTGTTACATTTTTGGACGTTGTAAATGTCGCACATTTTGTATTTGCTTCAATTTCCCGGTATTACATTTTACGATTTTCAGGTGTGCGTAGCACTTTTTGCTTATACACAAATTAAGTTGTTATTTGGCTGACACTTCTTTCATTCCGTTTTATTGTATTTTACGTCACAGAAACACGGTCCCTCTCATTCCATCATTAAATTAGGTAATGCTTTCTAGCCGGGCCAAAGTGAGTAGTCACACATTTTTCGACACTCGCAACGGAAAGACGGTTTTCAAATATAATGATGTTGTACGTTGTCTTGAAATCGAAATGAACTACCATCCGAAATGATAACACTTGGTTTTCGAAATGAGATGTACAAAGATTCAAGATACTTTTGGTTGTATGAGTAGTCTATCGCGTTGACGTACAAATTCT